TTAGGGGGACTTGCTTACAGAGGTTATGTATTAGCCGAAATAAGTTTAAAATACATATATTAAGAGATATGTTAATTTTCTTAGAAAAATTCTCAGACGAATGTGCAGTAAGCAAGCACAAATGAGCAAATGAGAAATAAGAAAGCGTGGAAAATGTGATTCACCCCTGCAAGTAAAGGATCTTTATTTACTGCCTGAAAGATATATTTATTTTATCTCACCCTTCTTCTGGGGATCTCAGGTCATTGCACAAGTTATATCTCTGTGAAATCCTCATATGAAGCCTATGGAGTATATTAATTATGTGTTAGCTGAAAGATACCCAGCTTCATAGCTGACTGTGAATCTGAACTCAAATCCTTTTGCTCCTTGACTGACACCCTCCTCATGTAAGTGGGCATGGCCATTATCTGGACAAACCAATGTTTAATACTTTGAAATAAATAAAGAAAACAAGACGTCCATTCTCGTCGCCCCCGATTTCATCACTTTTGTAGCCTCTTAGGCTCTGTAGATTCTGTTTCATGTAACTCCTGCTAATAGAATTACAGAGAGAAATCAGTTGATGGATCATGTTAATTAAGAATTTCAGTAATAATTGCAAGCCACTCATAGTAAGAATAGCTTCAGGTGATAATGACGTAAGAGCAGCAAGGAAGGGAAAGGAAGTAAACATTATTTATCCTTTCTCTTCCTCCGTAAATGTAAGATGTCTGAAGTCATTCTACTGGGCAGTAGATAAAAGACGTGGGGCAGATTTCAAATTTCTGCTTTTCATCTCCTGCAAAAGTGACTGACGGCGTAGTCATCATTGTGGTGTTAGCTTAGGAGAAAGATGGTTGCTACAGAAACCAGGGCAAGGTATCTATTGTGAATATCGTCTCTCATTTCAGAGCTGTCTCAATTTTTTTTACCAGTTCTCCAAAAGCAAAATTCCTTTCTATTCCAAAGCTATCCTTCAATCAGGATCACCTTAGTTGGGTTTGACTGAAACTCCCAACACCTTTGGCCAGCATTGATTCATGTGGTGGTGAATGATTGGCATTGTGGTCCAACATATTCAGAAAGCACCAAGATGGATTAATCAATATAGGCATTAAAAATGTGTAATTGTCATTAATTTGTATTTGCATGAAAGTGGACATCTTTCCTTAAGGAAGTGTTTCTACACTATTTGGAAGATATGACTCTCCCTCCCTCCTTTCCTCATTGTTGATTGGAAAATATCATTCATTGCAATTTAGATTATGTAGAATCCAGTTGCATGATACTGCAGGCACCTATATTACCTGTGAAATTGCTCCAGAATTAGACGTATTTAGATCTACAGCCATAAAATAGCTATCGGTCTCCCTTCTTTTCCATCACTGCAACTCTCCAGGAATGCCATGAACACTTATACTATAATTGTTACTATTCTTTTCATATTACTTTTTGGGGAGCATTGCTCTGGAACCAAATTAAATTTCTTGAAGTTTACTCTTAGCAATGAATACTAGGATACTAGATTATGTGGTTGTTTTTTTTTTTTTAAATAACTCTAGTTTATGTGGTTCTCCCCCGATAATACTAGATTTTTTGGGTTTCCCCCGATAATACTAGATTTTTTGGGTTTCCCCCGATAATACTAGATTTTTTGGGTTTCCCCCGATAATACTAGATTTTTTGGGTTTCCCCCGATAATACTAGATTTTTTGGGTTTCCCCCGATAATACTAGATTTTTTGGGTTTCCCCCGATAATACTAGATTTTTTGGGTTTCCCCCGATAATACTAGATTTTTTGGGTTTCCCCCGATAATACTAGATTTTTTGGGTTTCCCCCGATAATACTAGATTTTTTGTTGTTGTTCAGTCATTAAGTCGTGTCTGACTCTTCGTGACCCCATGAACCATATTGCGCCAGGCCTTCCTGTCCTTCACTGCCTCCCTGAGTTTGCTCAGTTTATAATACTAGATTATGTGGGATTTTTTTTTTTTCATAGTACTAGACTAGGTTTTTTTCCAAGGATTTTTGTAAATATGATAAATATGCATACAATACCTAGCTGGTGCCCTCTTGGTAATGAGTAATCTATAGTTATCTAAAGAGATATTCTACTCCCTATGAGCTAATTCCTTAACAGCTATTAACAGTCGAATGACAATGTATTTATTTACAGTATTTATTAAATTTATATGGCTGTAGTTCCTCTTTAACAAGAAACCTTACAATATCTGTAGAGAGGAAGATGAGTTAAAAATTGTTTTTTCTATTGTTGATCCACTAATTTGAATAGTTATCCTCCAATTGCATATTTTTGTCTCTTTTTGAATGTCGGTAAATCACTGGAAACTCTGATTTTCCACAACCAGAATCTGATTTTTTACTCTATCAATAGACTTATTTGGGGAAGCCATAGTTGTCAGTACTCTGGACAACAGCAGCCTAGAATTTGGCCTGTGATCTAGTAAAACACCTATCAATCTATGTTAGAGCAATGGTCTCAGTAGTATTCATAATACATTGCAATGACATGTAGGATGGCCCTCGTGCAATCACACAATTATGTTTTTGCATAACAATTTTTAATACAAATATGTAAGTTGTCACTTGCCTCTCTTATAGACACCTATAAATTGTGTGATTCAATACACAGTAATTTGCTATTAAACAGCTTGTCATCCAGAGCAAATCAGCTGATCACATTTTTATAAAAATAAATCAATCCAGGACACAGCTAATAAATAAATCACATTTATCGAAAGAGAGAGCGAGAGAACATCTATACAAATGTGGAATCTTATGAAAATGACATAATGGCTGAAATGGCACTAGGAAATTAATAATATTGAATTTTATATAACAAAAGGTGGGAGGCCATTTTGTCCAACAAGGACTTCTACATTTACTCACCTTGCTTAGTTATTAGGTGTCAGAGTGAACATTTGTTCATGCCAATATAGGTTGCAATGTCAACTAAAGCACACAGTACTATTTGTATATATATAGTATATGAGGTATAATATTACACAGAGGTGTGGTATATTCAAGGGCTGGTAGAGAATTTCAGTAATCTACATTGTGGACAGTGAGTTAACACTACTGAGACTGAAGTCTCTCTTCTCCCTGCTAGGCACATGTCTGCACACACAACCACATACATTACAATACACATTCATGTCTGAGGTAATTTTTGTTCTAAAAATGTCTATTAGTTCATGCAGCTAGGAAGGAAGGAAGGAAGGATAGCATCACATCATTGAGGCTAATGGGGGCAGGAGAGACTTGGGCTAGCACAATTGTGCTCCCATTATTTCCTGTGGTATCTCCCTGTTCTGGACAAATGGGTTCAAATCTTAACAACTCTGAGGTACACAAACTTCAGTTCTGCTCTGATACTTGGCCATTATGAGCAGAGAAGTGTCACAGGTGAAACAGAGAAAGGAGAAAAGACAGCCAGCTGCCTAAAGACAGCCAGCTGCCTTTTGTTTTGGCTCAGAACAAAATGTAATTCCTATTCACATGGTTACTATAGATATTAAGAATTATTCAAGGGCCAGATAAGATAATCAAGTAGGGTTTTAGTAACAGACCAAGTTGATTCTTACACTCCTCTTTTTTCTCTACAAGCATTCTGGTAAATCCTTTACTGGTAGAAACCCACCAATATTAACTTTTTATTTTTATTTTTTTAATTAGAGATGGTTACATCAGACATCTTCAACTTGGTGCCCTCCAGATGTTTTGGACCAGTTCCAAGCAAAGGCCAAGGAATTCCAGGTAGACCCAATTGATCTAAAAGAAAGCAGGTTGAGGAAAGAAAAGCTGTGTTTTTATCATAAAAGCATATAAGCTCTTACTCACTCTGCATTGTGGTGCTCACATGGACAATGGGCATGGCTTGGAAGACAGTCATATTAAATTTAAACTTTGAACATTCTTTTTGTAAATAATCGGCTGGATTAGAAACCAGAAACTTCTCAGCCATTTGAACATGGGGAAAATATAGATCAAGCCCAGCTGCTGACCAGTTATGTTTAGTGGGAAATAAATATCATTGGTATAATAGTAACTTACTCAGTGTTAAGCATGACATCTACAAAGTGCAAGCTTTACTCAGCTAAGAATGCTTAAGATTTTAATCCCATTTTCAGGCCGCATTGGCCTAGAGCCTTATACAACAATGTCATGTGTGCTTGAGATAACAAAGTTCTACTAAGTTCGATTGGCCTTCTTCTCAGGTAAGTCTGCATAGGTTTGCAGCCTTTATGTGAGAAAGTTGGTGGATAGATCATAACACCTAGCACTGCACATCCAATGTAGTTATTACCTGTATAGTAGAGAGCAGAATCATTACTGTGGAGTGAAAAAGAATGGAATTTGGATGGGTATACAATAAAAGTTTCCAAATTGTACATATATGTTGTTTTCTAGGAACAGAAAATCACACAAAACAGTCAGGTGTGCTGGTTTTTACAGTACAGAAATTTCAATTATTTACATGTCATGTATCTGAAAATTAGCTGGTGTTTCTAGATCATACTTGCCAACTAATTCACATATTAATTAAAACAGAATTTGTCATCTGATCTTGTTTGTGAAAAACATAGAAAAATGAAACTGTAATGAAATGTGGTATTTGCATTGATACTATAAGAATTATCATTGGCACAAAGAAGTATATTTTGCTCAAAATGTTTGAATCTTGCTCAGTTGAGGAAGAGGAATGGGAGGAAAACAACACCCAGTTTTCATTTTGTTATCAGATTGTCTACTGCATAATGGCTACTCAAGAAACTTGTGCAAATCAGGCCCATCTTTCAACTGTTTTTGTATAAAATTGAAGTTCAGCTTTCTTTATACATTGAAGTTTCTTGAAAGAAAGAAAAACAAAAAGAGAAAACTAAGGTTTCTTTTGTTAAAAAAAATACAAGACAAAGGAACAAATTATAGGGGCTGCATATGGCACTTATCTACCATACCAGCTTCAAGTATTTACAATGCTATGCTTTAATTTATTTATATCTTTACAGAAATGGTACAATGCTCTAGCCAAAGTATTTTCACGACCACAATTGTCACCCATGCCTCAATGAATATTTTCAGACTCTCTTTGATCAGCCACTTCCTTTAAGGCACTGCGCATATGCTATAGTCTCCTTCTCAGTGGAACTTCCTTCACTGGATTGCGCATTTTTCTCTCTCCCTTGCTTGCCCTTCTCTGAGGACTTTGGATTTTATGTATTTCAAATCACTGTTGACACTAGGTCGGCGAGCAAAGGGGGAGATCATGCCATAGGCATCTGTCTCTTTGACCCTATGCATCCTGAAGGATTTTTGGTGGAAAGTATCACCATACTGGACAGAGATCTTCCTATGAAGAGCAGGGCTCATTTCATGGGGTAGTTTGGCCATGCTGAAAAGGACATAGAACATCTCATTCACATTGGTGTTTTTCTTGGCTGAGACTTCAAAGTAAGCACAGTTCTCATCGCTGGAAACAAGTTTCTCAGCTTCGTCAGAGCGCACTTGGCGATAGAGTTCACCATGATCATTCTTGTTACCACAGATCACCATGGGCAGGTCCCCCGTTTCCTTGGTTTTGTTCTTCAGACATGATTTGACTTCAAGGATCTGCTTCTGGAGCCTCTTGACCTCATCAAAGGATTCTCTGTTGTCCAAACTGAATACTAGGATGAAAACATCTCCTGTAGTATTCCAACAGAAAATAATAAAGGCAGTAGGTTACAACTTTGTCTCAGAAATGTCTGTTTAAAAATGGCAGACAGCAAAACTATTATTTATTCTATAGATTCTATGGCAGCATTTGCTTTCTAGGGCCTTCCATGTGTCAGAGTTCAATGCCATAATACTTACCCCTTTTTTAATCAAAAGCCATCCTACCTAGGGAGGTAAGGACTGAAGTCCAGCATAACTGGAGAGTGCTAGGGTGGGGGACAGTAGCAGTAAAACAAAAACATTCAGAATATTTGAATAAAATAAATACTATTTACAGAACGTTAAAGGATCCATTAACATATATATGCAATGAATTCAGATTGCAAAGCTTTTAGCAAAATAATGTTTTAAAAAAGGGCATGTCATGTACCATTTTTTCCCTGACATAGATCTTCCTCTATTCTATGTCTTCAGGGGAATTTTAATCTTATTTTTTCTGTAGTGGCATCCTCTTCGATGGAAAATTGAATTGTTACTATTACTAATATTATTTCTCTTCTGTCATGTCCAGTTCTAAGAACTAAATGTTGAACAACCTGTAAAGCTTAATTCATTCACTGTCTAAAATTTTATTGTCCAATCTTCCAATGTTTTCTTCAAGTTCTATTTTACCTTTTACAATCTTCCAAATATCAGTCCCTATATATTGCTCCCTTGCTATTGTTTGACCTCTACATTTCCTAAATTCTAATAGCGAACTATTTGACTGTGGTTGCTGTTTTATATGTTCTATAAAAAAGGATGATGAATAATATTGTCCAGTCACAGTGCTTCATGTAATGATTAATGCAGATGAGCCTGCAAAAGGAAACAGTCTATGATCCACTTACATTAAATGAAAGGTTAGGTCAGCTGATTTAAATTGATTATGCATGTCCATTTTCAGCCAATCCAAATACATAAATATCAAAGAATCAATAGCTGTGAGCGGAAAAGCCTTTCAGATGCATCAGAGGACTCACATACAGCCAGTGAGATGTTTCTGACCTCTTACAATAGACATCCATGTCATCTCACATGCTGCTCTTGAAACATTTTTTAATTTTCAGAGCAGCTTGCTATGCCACAAGAGTCTTTTTTGTTTAAGAAAACCAAAGCCAAAGTCTTTTTGTCCAAACACATCTGACTTAGTCTTTGGAAAATTGATGGCTACCTCTTTAAGATAGGATTTAGAGTTTAACATGGGCCAATTCTTGCCTGTTCCTTTCAGCTTTGGATTTTCTCAAGCATCCTCATCCTGCTTCTTCTCCCAAAAAGTGATCAGTCATGACTATGGCAAACTTAATTTTCCACTGTTAAGCCTGACATATATGCTTCTAACCTGTGAGAATGGAAAGCCTCCTCATGGCAGGGAATGGATGATTCCCAGATGTATCCAAGATGTCCAGCTGATACATGTCACCTCGAATGTTGTAAACTTTGCGATGGAAATCCTCAATGGTGGGTGTGTATTGGTCATCAAAGCGGCCATTGAGAAACCGTGAGACAATAGAACTCTTGCCCACTCTGGAAGCTCCCAAAACAACCATCCGGTAGGAATTCTTGGCTGGCACGTTCAAGGTGCAGTTCCCACTGGACATAGTCTTCATCATTGCTCAGATCTGAATAGATGTAAAAAAGGGGAAATGTTTACCAACAATAGTGAAAATAACAGTACCATCAGAATACAGTGAGAACAAAAATTAAGTCTGATGATGTGAGATGGTACAATTGTTAGGACAGGAATGAGATTGAGCAAAAGAGTCTGCTGCTGCTGCTGCTGCTGCTGCTGCTGCTGCTGCTGACAACAGCAGCACTTTTCAGGGCCAGTGAAATCCAAAATCACCTTTTTACAAAGATAATTCCTTTGGATGCTTTATTCTGACAAGTAGCTTTCAGGCAGGAGCCCTGGAGAAGGTATATAGTGTGGGAAAGGCAGTCACATGGAGAAACCCTGGTGCACACAGCCCTAGTTCCAAATTATGGTTAATGGTGGAAAGAGGTGGTAAACTAACTGTAGCTCAACTGTGCTTGTAGTGGTTAAATAAATAAATCCTAAGAACTTTCTATCCAGAACACTGCCACTTAACTTTAATTTGTGTAAGTACTAGAATAAGTAACTTTAACTTGCATTCCAGATGATTAAAACATCCCAAAAAAGTCACAAGAAATTATAGTTTCCATCAAACCAGTTTTGTATTTGAATCGTGAACTTGGCTTCTCTTCTTAATCTAGAATCAGATTTATAAAATCTGCATTTATAACACTTACCAACAGAAATTCTAATACTGACATATATGGCATCCAAATTGCATTCCTTCTACTATACCATAAAACATTTTATTGGACAGGCTATGGTTTTGGAAGAGAGTAGATTTTTCATCATTATTTTCATGAAACTGTTCTGAATTCATGTACATTTAACATTTCATTGGCCATTACCATACATAGTTTCAGTCCACTTCAGAAGTGAATTGAGCCAATCCATGGCATTGCTGGACACTTCTCATTCCATCAGGCCCTGGCTTCTCCTGATGCAAAAATTAGGTTTTGTACAAATGGAGTAATAAGGTTTTCCTTCCAATGCAAATCTAGGCCATGTCTGGAAATGCCCTTTGTCTATTCTCACAGTTTTAGAACATAGAATCCCAGGTAAAATAAAGAATAACAAAGAGAGCTGACTTCTGTGCATGACCAGGGTGTAAGCATGCTGACCTCTAAAAACTACAGGGGCTCTATGTATTGTATGAACAACAAGAGAAATGTAGAAGAATATGCTGTAAGAAATGTCACAAAATATATCTGTGTTTTGTTTACCAGTATCGTTTTCCGAAAGAGCTGTCATTTTGTCATAATAGTCAACCACAGTCAGTATTTTGCAAATACCCACTCATAGAATCGCTTGAGACAACTTAAAAACTAAGTGATATGTATCCTCCCATTCTTCTGATGTACAGTATGAATCTGGAAAATAGATATCTCTACATGGGGAAAACAGTATGAAAGCAGTGAGGCAATTGCATTTGAAAATTAAATAAGGTTTTTATGAAAGATAATATGTGCTCTTTATTTATTGTAGATTTTATTATGCACTGTTCAATTTTGTATTGTTGATGTTCCCATTCTGGTTGCCCATCTTATTTATCAACCTCTTAAAAAAATACAAGCAAACTTTTCAAACATGTAAATTCGTGTTCTATCCTAATTATCAGTAGTAAAACGGTAATCACTGCTGAGGGGGGAAAAAACATCTTAGGGAGCATCTCTTGGGAGAAAAAAAATTCATCCAGTACTTCTATAAGTATTGTTCATTATCCCTGAATAAATCCAGAATGTTATTTAGATATGTTTAATATAGTATAATAGCATGCTTAATGCTATATAAAAATCAGAGTATGCGAGGGAGGGACAAATTCTATAATTCTTATCTCAAAGACGATTCCAGACTAAATTAGATTCACAACATATTGTGAATTGGATTGATTTGAATTACTTTCAGGTAATTAGGTTCTGTTTAAACCAACTGCGTCATTTTCATTTTCAGCATATTAAAATGCATAGAATTGGTCCAGCCTCAATATGAGACAAGAGACTGTCCCCTCATTTTGAATGTCATTTCACAAAGTGGGCCTGACTGATGAGTCAGCCAGCAATATTTTAATGTTATGGAAAGGCATCCATTTGTTAGCTATTCATTTATTATTGCCTTTTTGTTGTTAAGGTTGGAAAATAATTCTTGTTGTTTTAGGACATTTCCACAAGCAGTCATTTTACCAGTACAAAATCAGTTCTGGATATCTGCAAACTTTAACTATGTTCAGAAGCTGAGATGATTTCTTCCTGAATCAGCTACAGTGTATCTGGAACTGCAGTAAAGCATCTGAAATGCTGCAGCTCTGTAGAGCTGACATGTAGGCTGTTCTTCCATCGATGGATCTCTTGTCTCACTGTATCTCCTGGTCCCTGGACTCAATCTATCCATTGCTTCCTTCCCTCCCCACAGAGGTTCAGGTGCCATAGCATCCAATTGACATATTACTATTATTTTGATTATGAGCCATCCAGTTGTTGTCAGCTCTTAGTGACCACATAGATAGACTTTCTCCATGATGATCTATCCCTAAACTGGTCTTTTATTTTATGGGTTTTTAAAATGCAACAAAGGATTGGTAACCTTGTAGTATCACCTCATCATAACTCCTCAGATTTTTTTTTTTTAATACCACCAGACAAATGTACACAGCATGAACTAAAAATATGGGAGGTAGAGCAGAGAGAGCATTTTCATTTCTTTTGTATGGAATAGGAGATGGTTGTTTCTTTAATCTATGGCCAGAAGTAACTTGGTTGAGGGAACTAATTGAATGATGTTCTTTGTACATCATTGGTTGGTTGGGGGGAGTATTGATCAGCTCATGGGGTTATCTGCCAGTTCTCAATGTTTTGAAGTCTGCAGAAGTGAATAAGAACACATATCTATTTCAAACAACTTTGTGAGGGATTGGGGAATAGAAATGTGCTATGAAAAGGTCATTAGTTGACCGTAGGAACTATATGAGGAACTATATTGATTGATTCCGATGATACGTATATATACCATCCAACCACAGGATAGCCAGTTCTGATTCAGTGGTATAATGAATGAAAGCCAGTTTGATGTAGCAGTTAAGATGCTGGGCTAGAAACTGAGAGACCATGACTTCTACTCCTCCCTTAGACATGAAAGCCAGCTGGGTGATTTTAGGTCATTCGCTCTGTCTTAGCCAATCCACCACACAGGTTGTTGTGGGGAACATAGGAAGCAGGAGCATTAAATATGCATGCCACCTTCAGCTGACCAAAAATAAAGGTGGGATAAAATCAAATAAATAATATATTGAAAAGTTATCCTATGCAAATGCAGTTGTTTCTAAACAGAGAATCAAGAATCCTCAGAGGTGTTCTATGGGGTGAGCCATCAAGGTTGTCCATTCGGTCTCCATTCGGTTGGAGATTTGCCTGGGCAATGATAGCCAACTTGTTCTGGTTTACTATTTGCCTTAGTTCCACCTACCTCTTGGGTCATCTTTGTACCTGCCTACTGCTTAGTTAAAACAGCCCATTTGAGTACAAAGCTAAGGTTGTGTTTGTGCATGCCTACTTCCTCCCTCTTTCAATAGGAAGGCATATCATCTGGGTTCTCCTAGATTAGCCCCAGTTGGGTGGGAGCAAAGCATCATCTTAGTTAAATCCCTTGAAACAAAAGTGGACCTATAGTCATCAGTCCCAAGAAGATTACGTTACACTGTTTTAATTGCATAGTAGAGCAAAGGAGCTGATCATTGCCATGAATTAAAGGAACCAATGAAAAGGAATTCAAAGAACAAACAGTCCACTACTTATGAACTTTTGAGTTGTGAACTTTCACTGATATGAACAAGATGGACCTGGAAGTCAGGAGAAGGCAGGAAAGGGTTAGTTTCTGGTACGCTGGAAACTAACCCTTTCCCACTTTCTCCTGCCTTCTAGGAAGTTGGAGTTGGAGTTCCTGGGAAGGGTTAGGCAGGAGAAGTGGCAGTGGCTCCCTGGGCAAAGGAATGAGCTGGTGGGGCATGGCGCACTCCGTCATCGTCCTGCCTTGCCCTGCAATGGAGCATGCCATGCCCCACCAGCTCATTCTACTGTGCTGTCCACAGTCTGCGTGCTATCGCTCCTCACATTGGCAGCAGAAGACAGGGCTCCTTTGCCCACACCGCTGCCCTGCCTCCTGCCTCCTCCTCTTTTCTTTACTTTTTATTGTACTTTTTACTTGGTTGGACTTAGGAACAAAACGGACATACGAACAGCCTCTTGGAACCTAACATGTTCATAAGTAGGGGACTATCTGTATTAAATAAAATGGTCTCTTCAAAATGGCAATAAAGAACCATGTTTACTGAATAGCATTTTTCTTTTAGTCAGAAGCACGTTCATTCAAACAAATATTTCCTAATATTTATTTTCTTCCAACCACATTTAAATACACAATTTTTATTTTTAATTCTGAATGTGGCATTATGAACCTCAACTTTCAAAACCTGGATTACTTAAGGCGGTATTCTTAATTGGAGTAACCCATCCAATGGAACTTAAGAGAACTATTTTTGAAGAGACCTGTAAAAAATTGCACTAGCATTGTCATATCTCTTAATGGCTTTAATTTTAGCAACTATTAAAATCCTAATTATTAGTCATAAAATGATACATTGTATGTCAGCTATCATACCCTGTTAAATGCCCAATGCCATTGCAGGTATACAGTCAATCAAATGAGAATACTATATATTAATATTCAAATAATAAGTAAATCATGATCAAATGCCAAATATTGATATGCAGGATGGAGCCTATATAACACAAGGATTCATCTTTTTGGCCTATGGACTGCAGTTGCTCTCTGAGCAGGGAATGGTAAGACCAGGACAAAATCCAAATTTAACTTAATGTAATTTCAATTTAATGAAACATTACATATATTGATTAAATTGGATTAATGTGATTAATCCCATGTATCTAGTCATTTCCTTCTTCTTTTGCAATGAAGTTATCATTCTGTAGCCACTTTTAGAAGGGCTCTTGGGGTCCTTGTCTGATGCTCTGAGAGGGAGCAACAGATAGCTGTCTGACTACAGTTTGTGTGTCCCCAGTGTAATGCCAGATTTTATAGTAAATAATTGTGATTAGAAATTTGGAAACAAACTCACTTCAGGTTAAAACAAAAGCAAAAAGGTGGCTGATTGCATTTGCCGACGCTGGGATTTCCATGACCTCCTGCATGCATTTAAATAGTAGCAGTGCCTTTTCCTTTCCACTGCACACTTATCCAAAAGAAATAGGACTTATTTTCCAATATAGGGGAAATACTCTCCCTGCTGTAAGCAGTAGCTGCTCTTTGAATTTGAAAGTAGCTTCTTTCTTCAAATTCAAGCCTGTTTGCTGATCAGTTTCTCCTAAAGAAAAATGTGAATCCTTTTGCTTGAGCCTTTTAATAAGCATGATGAGGAATCAGGGGCTAAACATATAACTTATTTTCCAAATGTCCATGCAAATACTTACAGCACATGCAAAATTCCGATAATCCAGACAGAAAAAATTACCCTAAGAGGTTTCTTCTGAGATGGGAGTGTAGACTTACAGCATCACAGTACTTATACAGCCTTTGAACTGGCTGGATGAATCTTTTGATGTAAATGAAGATGTGGAATGAAAAATACTAGGTGCAGGCAATCACAGCTGGAACAGCTCTAAGGAGTACAGACCAGAAAATGTCAAATAAGCTTGGTAAAACATGCTTATTTGGAAGGAGGTTCCACTTTAGTAGGCCTACTCCTTAATCAATATGCTTCTGATTGTAACCTCAGTCCCAATCAAGTCCCAGCGTGCCTAATTTTCTTCTTACGGGCCCACTTGTTGCTCATAAGCAAGGTCATCAGATAATTAAAGCTTTTAAAACTAACCATTTAATCACCTTAATCACTTGTAGGCAATCTCTCCCTTACTAAGCTGTTTTCTTATGCAAAAGAAAGAGGCAGTTATCTTGCTTCCCCATCTGCTGCTTTATTCACTTGCATGATAACAAGGCCTTGACTAGACAGTCTCATCAGAATTCATCAGCATTTAAAAAATGAAGGCTTTCTGATCCTAGTGGACCAGTTGGAGATTCTAGGTCTTTCATTTTAGTGTCTTTGGCTGTTATGGACAGATATCTTTGCTATAGCCTATTCTTTGAAAATTACTTGCTATCATATCTGTTTGTTTCTGGTCACCATGTAGTATGTGCCCACTGAACTGAACATGAAATGTTTTGCAAGCTCTCAAATTTATGAATTGTTCTTAAGCAACAAATTTGTGGTTAGGCAACATCTCTCACAATTCTGTTTGATAGAAAAGATCAAACCATCAATCTAGCTAATTTCAGAAGCCAGTTTTTACATTTTTTAGATATATGCATCTAAAATGTGTTAAATGCACAACTTAAAAATGTAAATATTAGCATCATATTGATATGTTCATCAGAAAACCACAATTTCTTTCTGAATGTACACCAATGACAAATGTAGATTTACTGTACCTCCATGTTATTTATAAACCTATTCATAGGTAGCCTATGATTTCTGCCTTCCAATAATGATCTTGCATAATGATTTATCCTATGTATTTGTAGGAGTAATCACATTTCTGAATTAAAATATTTGGATCAACTCCTTTCCTTCCTTCCCACTCAGTTTTTGCAGGAAAGTATTTTATCCCTGCTTAAATATCACATAGAGAAGTTTTCTGTTCCTTATTTAAGTGGTCAGACCTGAAGATTCTGTCTGACCCACATACTGGATCTCAGGAAATAAAAATCCATTTTGAACCTGTTTTCTGCTCTTCAGCCCCACTGTAGCAATTGTTTGTGCCTTGTTTAAAATACTTAACACATTCATCTAATCCTTTTGTTTTGAAATGTTTTCTCTCTAGATACAAAATACAAAACGTAACAGTATATTCTGTAGAATTGCTGGTTATGTCCTAACTGTTGATACCACATTTATCTTCATGGGTTGGGACATCCCATTGATACAAACACATTTCAGCTCAACAGCAATGTGCTGTATTTTTAATTAAACATTTTGCATCACCTCATGCAGTTTTTAACCTGCAGCTCTTAAAAATAATAGCAACAACTTATCCCTTTTCAACGTGCCTCTGTTATATGATTTTCTAGAGATGGGAAACAAAGTGCTAATGAATGATTCACCACGGTACTTAGCTATTAAACTGAGATTGTCTGATTCCTCCCAGTGTCTGGACTCTAAGCACTAAACTACTCCCTACTATCTTATAATGTATAGGCAGTAAAATATCTACTCAAAAAATAGAGGGTTTGATGCAGAAGAAAAAAAAATCCTTACTACATTTTAGATTTATTAGCACTGCTTTGAACTCATCTTGGCTGTCTAATTCCATTTGCTTTGTTACTGATTCCAAAAGAGCATCCTATTTACAAAAGCAGTTCAGATCCTTCAGCACTTTGACTTCTGCAACCTTTTGGTGTGACCCTTGAAAGTCCAGTACAAAATGAGAAGCCACACTTTAGGATAGCTTAGATTTTTACACACCATGCAGCTCCTCCCATTTCTTTTCTGTTTTTGCTGCTTTTCTGATTAAGTGATTCACAATCACTTTATTGATTCACAAAAAACTGTTCGGGCTGTGTGTGCATTTGAGATGCATTGAAGAGATGAATGAAGAATCCTTGGAATATTTAATACGTGTTTATTAAAAATAATGCAATCAACACTGATTATATTTAGTGGCTTAGATTGCTACAAAAAGTTTAACTTTTGACTGTTTTTTCCTGCTTCTATCTTTAATTTTATTACCTTATTTTTAATGGCAACATATTAGATCATAAGCTTTCCCACATGTTGAAAGCCAGTATTTTCTTCCAAACAAACACTTCAGCTAGCTTTCTAGTAGATATGATGATGATGATGATGATGATGATGATGATGATGATGCAGAAAAAGAACAATTCTCAGTTGAGTTATTCAATGAGCCAGCTGATAGTTGGTTCCAAAACAAGTGCCCATTTCTCCTTTTTTTGTGAAGCCTTTATTCATCTCTTTATTCCATTTAATTTATAATAATGGAAGCACCAACTGACCCACCATAGGTCCTAAACTGACATATTTTCCAGTTTTATTGTGCCCCTTATTCTAGCTCTGGACCAGTAATGGTTTTAGTATCATAGCTTGATACTGTGACTGTAGTCCTAAGTGTACTGTGAAACACTTATCTTCTCAATACCATGCATCCATAGGAAAGGTGGTACTAAAAACACACAGTGAAAATAAAAAGTGACCCATGGAAAACTGACATACAGACAGAAAGAAAACCTGTATATTGGAAAGAGAGGGGGTAGCAAATGGAGGTTGAACATGTTTCTAGTTGAGCCCAAACAGCTGGCTTTGGCTTCCTTGGGATTGTTGCTCTACCCTGAGCATCCAAAGCAAACAAATGTACAGCATCTATAGGAGGAAATATAATTGCAAGCCCCTGTTCTTTCACATTTTATTTCTTATTCCTGAATGACCAAGTTAGGAAGCCAACAACAAATTTTGCAAAATCCCAATTCATTCTCTCTCTCTCTCTCTCTCTCTTTCTCTCTCTCACACACAATCTCTCTCCTTAGTCAGAAAGTCTTTAAATGCCTTCCTTTTAAAACACCCATTGTTGCTGGGAGCTATTCTTCTACATCTTAGGTATAAAGCTCTTCACTTACCTTTTCCTTCCTTGAGAAGGGAAATCTTTGATTCAGGCGCAGCCAGCAGCCTTGGTTCAGTGGACTGAATTAGCAGCTGCAGCCGCTGCTGCTGCAGCCCGAGCCAGATGCTTCCTGCCCAAGTCTCCCGCTTCTTTACCCCGATCCACCCCCCACACCACCCCCCGGGCTCCAGGGAAGAAAGGGCAACTGTGCTTCAGTGGCTGTCCGATGCTGAATTAGGAGATCCACATGGCTCAAAGTTTGCTCTCCAGGAATCAGCACTCGCCTCTTTGTCTTCTGGACTCGGAGGAAGAATGTATGCGTGGGGGCTCGTGTGTAGATCTACCCACTCATCTTAGTTCAGTCCAAAATAGAGCTCTCAATCTCCTCTTCAAGCTTTCAGAGTTGTTTGCCTTGGAACTTCAAATCCAGAAGGCTGACTTGGGAGCTCTGCTGTGACATCTACCCATAGAAACCGGTCAGTGCATCTCCCTGGCCTCTGCCCCCATCTTGTGCAGATTTCCAAGAGGGCAATGGAAGGGCAAAGGGGCTGAAGAGTTTCTTTCTGAAATCAATAACACGAATAACAAGAAAACAATAATAATAATAATAATAATAATAACAACAACAACAACAACAACAAAAAAGCCTCATTCAAAAGTCATTGCTTTTGCAAACATAAACCCACATTTTAAAAAATGCTAAGGTTTCTTCTGCTTTTCAGTACTAAAATGATGCATTTATTTCTTTGGTACATTTGCCTTCTCTCTCCTCTTTTCCCTTTCAGCTGCTGGTAAACTCCACATTTCTTCCTGTAGCTAATCAGTTCACTCCTCCCTTGAAGACTGTCAGTGTCAGTTGTTGTTAAGGGACAGTTGCCAAGAGGGTGGGATCTTGTGGAAGGAGCAGGAGGAGACTTTAATTCAAAACAAAGTTTTTATAAACTTGAGATTCTTCTTTCCTCCCTGTTTATCTCAAAAGAGGGACTGAATCGCTATCATAATGATCTATTGCTTATATGGTTGCTTGTTTTTTGAACAGCCTGAATTCCTCTTCCCCAGTACACATGTTCAAAACACAAGCAACCCTATAAGTGATAGATCAGTATGGTTCTTAATTTCATTTCAGTCTACAAATTCAGAGAACATCTGTCTCCTCCAATGTTTTCCTGCTACAGGGAATCAAAGTGACTGGTGAGCCTAATAAGGACATGTTGTTGTTAAAAGCTGTGATTTCTCTTTTGACCCTTCAATATTTAACCACAATTGTGTACTCATCTCATTCTGTTGATAATTTATGACTAGAAGTTAAATTAGGCTAAGAATCATAAATAGCTTGAAATTCCATTCCCAGTGCTAGTTTCCTTCCATGCAACTTATTACCATGGTTATGTGTTGGGTAGTTGGTCAAAATATTTCCATAGAAGTCATCCTTATTCTGCAATCGTTGATACAAATGCTTTGGAAAATAGTGGAAAATAGCCAGAGGCAACACCAGGTGACATTCTGATGAAGTATTTTAGTGGAAGCTAAATGACACATGAAGGCATAGGAGATGAACAGAGAGGGTTCAATTTTCTTGTTGATAATTTTCTGCTTAACTCTATGAGTTAAACTCTATGCCATCTTAGCTTTTCTATTTTAATTTTGATTCCATCTAATGGTGGAAAGGCTTGGGAAAGGAAAAGTAAAACTACATCAAAGCTAAAGAATTGACAACAACTGAAACTTACTCTAATCTTCCAAAAAATTTAGTACAGATGAATAAATTCTAATCAAGCATCAAAACATCAGGATAAACCTAAAATAGAGATACATTCCACGTCATCAAATTAAGCAATCCAGAGCTGCTTTACAGAGAAATCAGAAGTGATTCCAAAAAGTTCAAGCCAGTAAGATAATCCATAGAGTACTAAACTGTGAAAAATACTTCTCTTATTTTAAAACAAAGAATCATAGTGGGCTGTATTAATGTGAAAAAATGTCTTTTTGAGACAGTTGCGGGTAGAATAACACATCTATTTCCCCAATCTAGACCAAATAGTCTTTCAAGTCAAGCTTGACTTCGAGCAATGCGTCCATATACTTTTCTTGCAACAATATAGAAGTAGCTGAGGTTTTTTCCCTTTTATTTCTCAGTCTAGCCTGCACCCATGGGATTTTTTTGCTGGTCTCCCATACAAGTATTAATAAAATCCTACTGTGATTTTCTTTTTATAGTTTAACCAAGACCAGGGTGCAACTATTTGAAGAAAACAGATAAACTATGCTTAAATCCAGGCAAAATCAATAAAACTTACATTAATCACTATTTACAGTATGACATAACCCAATTCTACTTATATGGTCTGAACTGGGGAATGGGGTGGCTGATTTGGGGGAGTCGAGACTTTTCTGATCCACTAGGAAAAGAGGGGATCATGGCACAGCCAGGTGATCTGCATTTCCACCACTTTATTATTCAGATTAGGAGAATGTAAGTTGAGAAGTCAGAGCATGGCAGATAAAGGTGTGAGGATACATGATCCAACTGTTTCTGAAGCACGAAGCAAAAGCAGTTTTCTGACAGTGTCTATGAAGCAAGTTTGTTTTTTAAACAATTGTTTTATACTAACTCATACGATTTTGTCCTATCCTGTTAACTGTCACATTTGGGGGTGATATCAATTAGATTTATTAATATAACTTTAGATTATTATGCATTAAAGATGAGTATATACTTCATAGCTGTAGAGCCATTATTTGGAATCTATCAAAAACTGCAATTTTTTCAGGCATGGGGATTGGCTAAAGATCATACACCATTGGAAAGAGCAATCTATACCTGTTGTGCAGCAATGGATTGTTTGTTGTTTAGGATTTGGATTTGTTTGTTGTTTAACATTGTTAGGATTTGGATTTATTATCTCTCTCCCTTGCTTATTTAAAAATGGTGGATGAAGGGTTTTATTGAAAAATATGGGCTGAAAATGGACTTAACATCTTAGGTTGGGTTATTGCTAATAGCCCTGTTAAGATATTTGACAGGTTACCAACTCCCCTCTCCCCCCGCCCCCAATCTTGTCTAAAAACACCAAATTGCAATATATTTAATTAAAACATTTTGTTATATTCTCTATTAGGACTTAATGCATTGGCAACCTCAGAAATTCCTGTAATTTTGAGTATACTAGACACAGGATTTTTAGAAGCTATAGCAACCATTCTGTTTAACTGATGATTGAAGAACCTTACAAAGATAAATATAGATAAGTTATAAGAAATCTGGAATAAGAAAAAATTGGAGTATCCAGTTCTAACATAGTCTCATTTTTTAATCAGATTTTTGTTATGATTTTAAAATGAGACTAATTCATCAAAAATTATTTTTCAGGTTTATTGGACCCCATGGCAGAAATTTAAAAAGGATTGTTTAATTATCTTTTTATGTTGGAGATGCATACATTTGAAGGCCCTCCAGCATGTTTTAATGTCAATAGTGTTTTAATAAGGGACTTTAGAATTAAATATGTTAATATGTTTGTAAATTTGTTCCTAAATGTTGGAATTTATCAGTGTATGAATAACTTTGGATCTATTGCATTTGGATTTTTGCAAAAAAGATTGTTGTGTATTCTTGCAAAGACAACTTGTACACCAAATACCAAATGTGGTTTGATGAAATATGTGCCCTCTTAGCCTTTGAACAGTCTCTTTATTGATCCAGTTGAAGGACTGGACAATATAATTCTATGAAGTCAAGATTTAACTTGCTTTTTAAAAGTTGAGCTGTATAATTTTTTAAAAACATGTACAGTCATTTCTTGTATTTAATTTAATTAAATTATTATTCATGGTTTTTTTGGTATTTTATATTGTTTTCATTAGTTTCAATAAAACTAATTTAAAAATGTATGAATCAGAGCACATAGCAATGTAGTTCTCTACTGAACATGTGGTGTCCTCTCCAATAGGTGATTCTATTTTGATGTCCATGATGTCTCCTGTTATAAGACCAAGCCCTTCCAGCTGCTGATAGATCAACTGGAATCATGTACAGTAAACCTATCTAAGTGCTGGGATTCCATCTGGGTTTAAAATGGACTAATCCATAAAGTATACGGCTAAAATATTCATTATGCTATTTTGAGATTCTATTAAAACCACTGCATCACACTCTACTGTGCTACTAGGAAGGAGGAAATGGAAATGTTTGTTTTGTAACAAAAAGGACTGTTCCTTCCATAATATTCTTCATGATCCAGAATAAAAGACTGTCTTGGTTGTGAACTGTAAATAGTTGAAGAACGTACTGTTAATCACGTTCTTGTTGCTATCCCCTCTTAGGCTAGCTTCAGATATATTCGAGGTAGTGGCAATATAATCCTAAAATGACTTTTTCTACCCACTTACCATATGACAGCATTTCTTTCTGCATTAATCAGATTGCAAAACACTATATTTATTGATGTTCTTACTGACTATAACGTGTGGTTTAGATTGAACCACTGTGAAATCAAGATCCCCTTGACTACATTCAAAGGAAATCAGTGACTAAAATCACTTGCATTCTCACTGGTCAGAGGATTGCACTATTAATGAAATTTGAGAAGATTCAGTTCTAACTCTGATCCACTGGAGATGTGTCCTCGGTCTTTCCAAATCATTGAGTTGAATTCTGGAGCCACAATTACTCTAAAGCTGACACTTTGGCATTCATGGGGGTGGGGTGGAGGGTGGGGATATATTATGTATATCATGATGTCATCACACAAGTTATACAAATAACGTAATTCATATCATTTGTGCAACCACATCATGATCCATATGAAATTATCATAGTTTGTGCCAGATATAATCAGTCCAAAATTCTCTGCACAATGCTAAGCTATGTTTCCTGATATTTCTTGATAACTACAGCTACTTTTATAATTTTTTCACCTATACACTTTATATAAAAATATGAACGTTAATAGCAGTACTGGGAAAAGTTTACCTATAATGATGCTGTGAGAATGTTATTCTTCCTTATTAACTCATCAATAGAGTTACTACTGTAATAAGCAAATTAGGTTCAGACTCTGGTTTGCAATTAACCATAATTAATATGAACTGTAATACATATGCCAATCTACATGACAGAGAGGCTCAGTTTACATACTGTGAAAATCATAATGTGGGTTTGTTTGGTTTTTGCTTAGTGTGTTCTTTGAATCTAGCCATGGTTGATATATTATGATTTATGACTTAGCAGGTAGCATGAACCAGCAAATAGTGGTTACACTCAGAAAGCAACAGTTAGTCAAACTATGACTTAATCTGATATGTGAACCTTGTTATAAAGTTGAAAAGGGGAAAAAGAAGAATTCAATAAGAAAGCTCAGTTCATTTTTGGTACTGGAGGATAAGATTGAAAAAGCTGTCTTAATACAAGTGAATTTCATTGACAACTCTATATGTCTATAGAAATATAAAAAAAACAGCCCTCCATTCTTGTCATGCAAAGTTGTATTCTTCTGTTTAAAATATGATTTGACTTTATTATGGTCAGTGATCACCAAGCCTCAGATAGAAGATGTGTGTCTATATGTGTTTTTGTGTGTGTATATATATGAATGATGTTTAGGCCAATTGTTCTATGCAACAGTACTGTATGGAAGATCATTCATCTTCTCATTTGACAATGGAGAACTAATTTCAAGGTGGCTGGTTCCAGGCATTACA